AGTAGCCAATCACAGCGCAGTATGAGTGATAGACCATTAATATGTTTATACTAAAGTCTGTTATGTAGTGTATGTACACTTAGTGCAAACAGGAAGACATATCAAATTGAAACTCTCCAATTCAGAAAGAGACGATAAAAACTGTGGAATGTTATGTACGGTGGCCAAAAAATTATAGTAAACTGACAAGTTTCACTTTTGAATTCGTTTCTCTTGTAATATTTTGTGCTGGACTACACTACAAAAGTCCTGTATGTTAACCTTGTATAAGGAAAATATGAAAAGACCACCATGCCATCGGCAGGCGACAGGGCCTATTTTTGATAACCACTTACCTTGGTGCTATGAATATTCCCACCATCATGTCTGCAATGGCCAGGTTCACCAGTAAATAGTTCATTGTTGTTCTCATGGAACGCGTTTTCACAACCGTCAAAACAACTAAAGAATTTCCAATCAAGTTGGTGACGATCATAACGACAAACGCTGTGGTGATTCCGATCTGAGCTGCTGTGGAAATCGCCATTTTTRCTCGCGTTGATTCCCTGAAAGAATTGCACAGAACAATAAATAACAATATGATTGGCTGTTTACCTGTCAATCACGAGAATAWCACAGATGATTGGCTGTTTATCCGTCAATCACGAGAATAAGACAGATGATTGGTTGTTTACCCGTCAATCACGAGWATATCACAGATGATTGGCTGTTTACATGTCAATCATGCCAATCTTCAGATGATTGGGTATTTASATATGAATCACGCAACACCCTGAGTGATTAATTATTTATCGGAATGATTCCATAAATGAGAGCTAGAGAGTGTTTCCCGGCCATTGAAAGTTTGAATTTATATTCGGTTCACATTACATAGATCTGTCTAAGTTAGCGATTGATTTCATTTACATTTATTAGATAGAAAGTCTTTTCCTTCTAGTTCTTTCTGTGTACACAGGGTGAAGACATTAGTCAGAGTTTGCAATTAATGCGTCGATCTGTGCTCAACAGTAAGATAATATTGACGATGAATTACCTGCTTTGGACAAACAGTTTTGCTAAATAAAGGCAGTTGTGAACGGCGCTTTTGATGTTCAACTGCAAGACGTTGTTCAAGGGGGTTTAGGGGCATTGAAAAAATGATTTTGAAGGTGGGATAAGCCAAAATTTGCACTTTGGTTTTGCATATTTTGTCTCGACCTAACCATCGAAATCACGGGAAATCACACGGCGAGGAAGGTCATTCGAGCACTAGTTTTACTTCTTCGAAAAGCAAAAAAACCTCAGTGTGTGCGGATGAAATTTAATTGAACGAACTTATCTCTTACACACAGTGATTTTTTGACTTGTCAGTTTGAACATTGCTAGAAATTTTTCTCAACGTATACGCGCGGCGGAATTAAATGCGAAATCCTATTCCTGCATTTTTCATTCTTTTTCTTGTAGTTTAAACGCTGTCCCATTTCAAAACCATCTGAATCGCTGTAATATCGAATCTGATAGAAAAGGACATCGATTCGACATTGGATTTTTTTTTTTAGTCAAGTAACAGGATGTCTGTTGGGAAAACTAGTTTGTCATTAAATAATGTACTGACAATAGCAACGCCTTAAAACAAATACTGAAGCATTTTAATGGAGGGCTGGACCATTTGAAATGTCTTAATGAAAAAATAATTTGAATCAATTTATTAAGAATATATGTAGGAAAACGTGATTTTGATTATGTTTAATCAGAAATAAACGCTTGTAATTTGTTTTTAATGTACTTTGTACATACAGTATTTTGTCACATAACGTAACTACTATAACTTCCATACTACAAGTATAATAAATATATTTATACTATAAGCCATGCCAAAAGATAGCTAAATGCATGCACTATATAATAGTCAATTATCCTTAGTCGAAATATTCGAGAAAATAATTTTTTATCATAGAATATGATTTGGCAGTTTGGTCTTCCTTGTCGAAGATTTGTCCACACAAGGGTGGTGTTGTAATTTATTTGTGCGTATATTATAGAGACCTCCATAAAAGTGCATTCGTTATATAACTCCATCCGTTAAGAGATGCCCGTCTCTCAGAGGTCTCCTAATATTATATTTATATTATTAAGTGGATATCACAATAATTTCCTCATGCTCTGAAGTGTGATAATAATTTAGTACCCAGGTTACAAACACGGCAGAGGTTTACTCTGACCTACTGCAGGTTGGACACTAGCCACAGGGCATGTTTTCCGCAGTTTCTTGAAGTCAACGCCCATAGCTCTTAGCTCTCCATGAAGATCGGACAGCACTTTGAACAGGTGTTTGGCGACCTGTTGACTAGTACGTTTAGTCGCGGTGTGTGTTGGTATCGTACAAACGTTTTGTTGTGTAGATCCGCACTGTAACGAGAAGGAGAGGAATCGTTAAAGGGTTAAACTTGAACCGGTGCCTCTTTTGCAGTACAGGAAGCCGAGCAGTAAAAGATGAGTTGACTCACGAAAAATTTTCTTTGGTAACTTAATAATTTGCTTAGAATATCCCATATCACAAGAGAGAACACAAACTGGACAAATTACTTGATTTAGGAATTAATTACAAGGACAACGATGAACAAGCATTACATGACTACAACGATGAACAAGCATTACATGACTACAACGACTATGACTTTCACATGTACGAGAACCGTACTGTCTAACGATGGTAGTCCGATAGTCCTATAACGTGTTCGGCTACTCGGCTCGTTTGTTGTTTCTATTGTCTCTCGACCAATCAGGATCGGGATTTATTCCTGTAATTTAATAGCCGCAAGTTCATTCCCGGTATTGCGAAAGTCTTTCAGCACAGTTCAGGTAAATTTTTTTTTTAAACTTAAGAACTTTGCACTTATGATCTTTCAAAAATCAAAAGATATACAAAAATTCGTGTAACTAAAAAAGGAAATGTACAATGGCATCGCGCGCCGTACAAGACGAGGCCAGGATCTGTGTTTGGAAGGACGATCCGATAAGAGCAGAATTTATAGTATCGTCTGACATGTCACGATTTAATACTTTTGTTTAGTCTGTGCGTGACGAGCGCAGAAAAATCTACATTTGGCGCCTTCTGTGGACACTAGAATCAATATTTAATATTCTTGGTCAGATTTCTTTTTAACTTCTGTTCCATTTAAACTTTTATTCCTATTGCTTTAAGTAATCAGTGCCACATAATGCTTTAGTACCCACACAGAAGCACATTCAAAATATTCGTGTATCACCAGTTATAATTACATGTACTATAGACAATATTATCATGGTATAGATTACGTTTGAAACTGAGCGCGTTTTTCTTGTTTTGCTTGCTTTTTTAGTTGATTCTAAGATATTTATATAGTTACAAATGATTTTTATATTTATTGTACTAATTCTTTTTTGTTTTAGTGCCGGTATTGTTATAAACATGGCAAGACAGACTGGAAAACTTCTTAAACAACTAAGATCACTGATGAGAGGGAACATAAAAGCAAACATAAAGGAACCTATACAAGCATATATCATTCCTTCATGTGATGAACATCAGGTAATAAAAAGCCCCGGCTACAATATTCTTCACTATCCTTTCCACTTTATTACATTTGCAAGTGTCTGGGTCTGCACTGTCCCAACCTACCATTTCCTGAGAGCTGTAAAAGCCCTGGCATTATATCCAGTAAACCATGGATTTTGATTGGTTAACTTTTTTCCATAAAAGCACCCAGGGTGTCATGTGTAATGCCCCAGCTTTCTCTGTCCACCATTTTGAAAATTGCGAGCAGAGGAGACCTGGGAAGTAGGTTGGCTCTGACGATGTATTGCCTTGACAGTGATGATTATTATAGAGTTATTGACAATTTTAAAAGATTCTTTATTGTTATGCATCTAGAGTGAATATTTAGCTAACAGTAGTCGACGATGGTTTATATCTGGTTTTGATGGGTCCTCAGGTAAGGCAGCAATGTGAATTATGATAATTAATTGTAACTCATCACTTACTTTTGAACATGCAGGTACAGCAATAGTAACAATGCAAAAAGCAGCTTTATGGACTGATGGAAGATACTTCCTACAAGCAGAAAAACAACTGGATGCTAATTGGACATTAATGAAGGATGGTAAGTGACGTACTATAAATAAAGTAAACAAAGTCGAGAAAGAATGCTGT